TGTCTGCCAAAGGACAATCTGTTTGCTCTGAGACAGTTTAATGCATACTGACTACCAGAGGCAGAACTTCCATTGGCTCTGTTACAGGGGTAATTTACACTTTAACAAGGTATTGTGACAAGGTGGTAATTATATTTTTATCACGTCATTATGACATTACCACCTGGAAAGCCATAGCTGATTAATTAGTGGCATATATTAAATTTATAACCCTAGAACTCTAAAGTTATCATACCTAAGTGGTGTAATTATGTCGAACTGTGGTGTGGCAGTGAATTGGAGGTGAAGATGCTGAGTATCCACCTATTGCAATAGGTTTAACGAGCACCAGTAGAGGGCAGGGAGCTGCAGAGAAGGAAATTTTTTTTTTTTTAAGAAAGAAATAGTAAGGAGGAGGGTGAAGTCATTGAAATCTTGAAACCAAATCTAGTCAGATGGCAAGTTGCAAGGCTTCTTACATATATGTGTTTTTTAAAAAGATGTCATTTGAGAGCACTTTGATTTACACTAGTTCCTGCTTTGTATTTCACAGCTTTATTTTAGTTAGTTCATGTGCATTTTGGTTTTTCCAATACAGCAATTCCTGTTGAACTTTTGGAAGCTTGGACTGGCCATTCTGGAGGCTGCATCACCTCTCTGCAACTAATAGGAAGCACTGGTTTTGGCAGGATGGATTTTTCTTATCTTGTCCATATGCCCAGGTGTTTTATGTTGTTCCTCCTGATTTACTTTTTTTCTCTTGCCCTTAATATTAGGAGATTAAAAAAAGAAATTAAGCTGGAAGTAATTAAAGAGAACGTCCACAACAAATATCAGATGTGTTCCTGTATCCCTATGCAGTAAATACAGACAGAATTATAAACCAAATCTATTTTTATCCAAATTATCATGTTAAAGGGCAGAGCTCCAGTTTTGAATTGTTTTGGTTTTCATTGTTTGTTGTGCTTTTCAAAGTCATATTTGCAAGTAACTCACGTTTTATTCTCTCCTTCCTCTATAGAAAATGAAGTGTCTACTTTCCCTGTGTTAGTGAGTGATCAGAGTGAAATTGTGGATACCAATGGAGCTGGAGATGCGTTTGTTGGAGGTATTTCTTACTTCTTTCTCATTTGGAGGTTATCCTATTATTCTGTCTGTATAAAATCTACCATTTTTTCATTCAACTGTCCTTCAGAATGAGCTTCATTCTTTTAGAGCTTTTCTATGCATCCTGAAGTTACATGATTTAATTAAGTTCTGATTTTCAAAGGGAAAGTGTGTTCTATTACCTTAAAAATAATATGCCATTATGCTGTACTCTGGTAGTTTTCATGAGATTAATTGTATCTGTCAGACTGTTGCATAAACAAGCTGCATCAAGTACTATATAGTGTACAGAAATCCCTCCTGGCTTAAATGTTAACACATTGTTGTTCTTTAAAACAGGTTCTAGTGAATATTAAACAGTATGTTAATAAGTGAGCATAATGTCTTCTGATCATGTCAATTTTGGTAGAACATCTGCTTCCAATACAATTATTTGGACATCAGAAAAGAACACAAAGGGTTAATTTGTTAAAACAAACCCAGAAAATATCTGGCATTGCTTAATATCCATTTGCAAACTTACTATTTTTTTTGGCACAAGCTCTAAGGAAAAAAGAGGATGTTATGTCTATGCCTGTTTTGAAAAATGATTCAATATAAGCCAAAAACCAATCTAATCCAAAAGTTCTGTCATTCATTGTAACCTTCATACATGTAGTTCTGTGATGCACTATTGCATCCTGAAGGCTCTAATATCCAGTACATAGTAGCTGTAAGGAGCTCCATTAGTCACTAATTTACTGGAAACATTACCAAAGAGGCTTTATAAATAGAATTGCAGGGCTCAGTCTTGTAGCTATGAAGGGGATAACAAGCAGTGTGTTACCAAATTAAAGCTTCAGAATTGTGTCCTGCTTCAAAAAAGTATTCAACATAAGCTTAATCTTAAGCGTGTGAGTAATTCCATCCTTACTTAATACATCACTTAAACCAATGATAAATTTTCAGTGTATGCTTAAATCTGGCTGAAAATAGGAATGTTATTACTCATTGCTTTGGTGCTTTCATGAATCAAGGAGGACAGAAATAGAGGGAAACACGTTAGGTCATATTATTCATACACCTTTTAGTGCACGCTTGTCACTCTCTATTGTTCCTGAATCACAAACAAGGCTAAATTTGAACCAGTAAGTAACAGTGACTATAACATAAATAAGATCTTTTTCAAGTGCTTGTCCTTGTATACATGTGCTCTGTGTATCAGCTGTGCCAGTAAGCTGCTGTTCTTGTCATGAAAAAGAAAAAAAAGAAAAGATCTTGCCTATTTTATTTTTCAGAACCTGAAAATAACATAATACTGGGTGGGGCCCAAGTGGGCAATATGGTAGACACCAACCAAGCTTTGCCTCAGCAGGAAGCAGCTTTTCATGTGTCTGCCATGCTTATCTCAGGTTGTATTTATTCTCAGTTCTTCAGACTTTAGGCATTTTGGAATCAGGACCCTTTTTTTAATAATCCTACATTTGTTGTTTCCTAGTTTAGGTGCAGGAACACTTTTGCAACTAAATTATCAAGCTTTAAGAACTGCCTGGTCTCTCATCACCCTTCCTCTTTAAATTATATCCTTTTCCCTGGTACTGCCATAGCTCCTGTTTGTCTGTAGAAGGGCTAAAACGTTGACTTTAGTCAGAACATCCTGAATGGACAGGCTGATATAAACCACATCGGAGTCTATTCCAGGCTGCTACCTTCCACCAGCAGTGTAAGGAGTTCAGGCACATCCTGTCAGGCTGGTCTTGCGTCATTTGTGAGATTCCTTTCTCCAAGGGGAAAAATGATGTAGAAAACGCTAAACTCCGTTGGGAAGAAAGGAAAGAAAATAGGTCTTCTAAAAGATCAACTGCCCTTTGGTGTTCTAAGGCTGTTGAGATAACATGTCTGGATACAGCAAGCTTCAATGTATTTGGGGTACTCTTAAGAAAAGTCCTGTGTTACTGCTTATGGACATACATTATTTTCCTCAGTTCCCCCACAGAGAGCACTGAGGCATCAGATGCTTTTTGTGTGGAGCACAAGTTCAATGCAGTCCAGTGGTAGCATGGCATTGTAGAGTTCTCCCTTGACACCAAGGAAGGAAAGGACTGCAGCTGGTTTTCCCTCTGTAATGGAAGTTGGCTCAGCAGTTGCAGATCTGTCTGAAATCTCATTGCGGTTAGACACTTACCTGAGTATTGGTATGTGAGCTTACGTTCTTGCTGCGCCATATTTCTCTCTGCTGTGACTCACGAAGTAACATGAGCTTTAGAATATCTGTGGTTCTTCCATTAGCTTCTGAGATATCTTAGTTCTCCTCTGTCACTCCATAAATAATAAATTAGTCATTTATTCTCCTCAGAGAACAGATTTTCCTGAGTTTAGTCCAGATGGGAGATTTGGGAGTCATAACAGTCTAGATACACAGCTGATTCTAGTCTTACATACTGTGGTCTCCTTCTTCATGGAGTCATTTCGTTTTCCGTCCCATATGTAGGAAATAGGATACTGGACTCCGCAGGCTTTGATTTGGTCTGTGTTTCATTTGGGGGAAATGTCTGTATTTTATCTATATCACACTTTTCATGTGTTTTCAAAGTACATATTTGCAACAGGAAAAGTTCTTTATTGTCTCCTCACCAGAAAGCCCTACACAGTAATGTTGGTAATACTACTGAACATATGTATCTTCTGTTGATTCTAGCATTGAGCCAGATGCAGCGTTATTGTCCTGACAGAATTTTTATAATGGGAAGGTTATATTCTCTTTGGTGTTTTTCTAGCTTCTTTCTTTGATTGAGGTTTTTAACAAGTTGTTACTACCTAGGCAACACTACATATAATATTTTTATTTTAGCGTCCTTGTAGTGAAATGTTTCAAAATTCATCCCTTAACTCAAAAATGCACTCAGTGTTATAATATACTCTCCTGGAAATGTGGTTCCTTTATTTGAACAGCAGAGAACAAGAGTCCTATGGCAAAGCTTCCCATACTTCTCTGGGACTGGCATATTAACATGACTGAACAGTGGTTTTGTTAGAGCAAATGTCTTGGCTGAGAGGGGAATGTAGGGTATAATGAGAACTGACCCCATCAAGCAGGATTTATTTTGCATTAGGAGGTCAGGTTTGTTAGACTCTATCATATTTTGAAAGGTCTTTCACAGAGGCACTCTCTTCCAGAGGTATAGCTCACAGATTGTAAGGAAATTCCTTCTCGATAATTATGCCAACTTGGCAAATTACTCCTCATGTGTTTCTCCATGTGAAAGTGGAAGATAAGAAATCTGTTGGGGTTTGTTTTTGTTTTTTTTTTTTCTAGAACCTATCTAACTCCTGAAGGTCTTGAAACCTTAAAGTCACAAAAAAGTTTAAGGACACAAAGTTTCTGGGCACTTGTAACTGTGAGTTGATTCATGAGTTCAGCATTTCTGAACATGAAGCTGCTGGCCTCCAAGGAGAACTAGCTCACTCCAACAGCTAGCAACAAGAAATAAACTGCATTCTTCAGCTGAATTGTGTTTTTATAAAGTTGGCACCAGGAATATCTCTGAATTTCTCGCCTCTTACTGCAGGCATCAAGTCATCTGCCATTCAGGCTGGTGCAATGCATGAATGAGAAACTGGGTTTTTAAATTGCTGCAGGTATCTTTATGCTAAAAACACTTCTCTAAACAATACTAACAGAGTTCTGCCTTTGTTGCTTTCCAGCAACACTGCTACCTTTTAGAAGTTTAAGCAATAATGATTTACTTTGTAGCATCTCAGCACCTCTTGTGGATTTCAGGGGTACCACAGATTTTCAGTTATAAATCCCTGAAATACCCATAAATTAAAGTTGCAGTTCCACCTCCAGGTTCTGATGACATTGACAAATCACTTGAGCTTTGCTGACATGGCTTATGTCACAAGAGTCCTCTTAATGGAATTACAGCCTTCGTTTGTAGAGTTTGGGGAGCATTCTATTACTCGTTAAATTAACATTCATTTATTACTAGTCAGCCCCAGTTTGAACCTTTGCAATAATGATAATCAAAGCATATTTACAGACTGAAATGTGGACAGTTTTACCATCTCATGCTTTCCTTTGTGCCATCCTGCTCTTTTGAGCCAGAGTAGGTCTGCCTTCTGTTTGGACTCCCCTTTGTCATTGCCACCGTAACTAATGAAAACACTAAGCATCTTTTCTGATAATTACTGCCATTGTTCTCTGCAAAATCTCTCCCCTAGAATCTGTCTGCTCAGTGGAACTGGGTAGAGAGTTCATAACAGATGAATAGGAGAAGGTGTAAAATCAATGTTTCTTCGGGTTCTGTCAATACAAATATATTGACTATATTAGTAAGCTACTATGGTTTAGTCATATACTGCATGGAAAGTACTAGAGTATGAAATGTAACCACAAATCACTTTAAAGTAGCGTGATGAAGCAGTGACAGAATGATCACAGCAAGTGTATATTACTTATCACCATGCTATAAAGATGTTATACCATTCTCAAGGAAAAGAAATCCCAAGATAGAAGGAGCTCTTCATTAAGCATTGTGTGGTGCCAAATATGAGCTGATAGCAATTTGCCTCTGTCGGTATCAAAGCTGAGGTCAACGGCTCAAACCACCTGTCAATTTAAAAATCCCATTGGCAGCTTTCATGTACCAAGGAATCTCATAAAGCGGCTAGCTATAGTTCGAAAGTGACATTCAGAATTTTTTTGCTTACAGAATAAGCAGTTCTCTCTTTCTTTTGTGCAACCTAGCATGAATCGTATGAGACGGCCAAGTACTGTCTCAGCTATCAGAGAACTACTCTGATAGAAGACAGGGACAGCAACAAAAGAGGAATTGTCGTCTTTTATATATGTCCTTGTGTGAGTGTGCCTCATGGCATCCTTATCTTTTCTTTAGAGACCACAGGGCTTAGTGGAGATACTTCCCTCCTTTTGTTTCTGTTTCTGTTGCCAAACTGGCTCAGTAAAGCCATTCCGTCATCTTTAATATAGAGGTTAATTCTAAACGTTATTTTTCCATC